CATGCAACTAGCAACATCCTTGAGAATTTCTGTTACCGCATTAGAAAGCCGTTCATACTTCAGCTTGGGTTCTTCCTTACTGTCGTCTTCCTCAGACCCATCCATAAAGTCTTCTTTAAATCTTGGGTCCTTCTCCTTGGCTTCCACCATGGTGAGACTGACTGTCACATGAGGCAGTCCCACTCAGCTATTGATGAACACACTACTCAGCAAGTGGAGGTCACCATTTTGGAAAATCACCACATAACCATCACTGAGCCCAAAATGTCAAGATTAGTGTGGGGTCTGTAGAAAAAAACCATCCAAGACCATCTTCATATGCATAAGGTATCTGCTTTCTGGGTCCCCTGGCTGCTCACACTTTTCCAGAAGAAGGAATGAGTTGAATGCTCTCAGGCTCTATTGACCATATGCCATGGAAACCAGGAGGACTTTTTCAACAGACTGATCACACAAGATGAAAGATGGGTCCATCACTATGATCCTGAGACAAAAACCCAGTCAATGGAATGGAAGCATCATGACTCACCACCTTCAAAGAAGGCACATGCCCAACTCTTGGCAGGAAAGGTTATGCTCACAGTATTTTGGGACCAGCACGGAGTAGTACTGATGGCTTTTCTAACAAAGGGTACCATGATCACTGGGGCATACTATGCTTCACTGCTGCGGAAATTGCGGGAGGCCATCAAAACTGAGAGACGTGGCATGCGCACCAAAGATGTCTGCCTTCTGCAAGACAGTGCAACAGTTCGCAACTCACATGTTGCCCAAATGGAAGCATGTTCCTGTGACTTTGAAATTCTACCACATCCCCCTTATTCACCCAACCTCGTACCATTGGACTTCTATCTCTTTTCAACAATGAAGTTATTTTTGAAGTGCAAGCATTTCTCAGATACTGAGACTCTGATTTCCAAAGTCACAACATGGTTTTTGGAGCAACCTGCCGGCTTCTAAAAGTGAGGTGTTTACAGTTGCTTAAAAATATGGGAGAAGTGTGTGTCCCTAGGAGGCACCTATGTAGAGAAGGACTAATAACTCTGCCAAGTTTCATTGCTCTCAGTCCATAGAAAGTGGGTCAGGAGAAATTTTTAGTGAACACCCCGCATACATAAAGTAGCTAGACAGTTTTCAAAGTGTGTTGTTTGAAAGATCTAATTTTGAAAGACAAAAAAAATATACTAACCAGTAATTGCTTCAAAACAGTTCCCTTTGAAAAACTTGCCAGATAAAGAATATACATTTTAAGTAGCACATACAATAAACCAGTTTCCTAAGTACTCTTGAGGGGTTGCTATGTTAAAAGAAAACAAGATGACCTAAGGTATGTGTAAAGGACACAGAACTGGGTAGAATATAAATAGTTCTCTAGAAATTATTAATGTGCTTTTCTTCAGAGGCTGATGTGGGCAATCCTTGGCAGGATTTGTATCCTAAAAGGCAGGACATAAAACAAAATGTAATAAAATCAACAAACTACTTGGAAAAAAGGGCTTAACTCCCCCTTTTCACTTCATAGCTCCATGAAGGCAATAAAACAGTGGGATTTGGAGGCTACAAGCAGGATTAATTTTAACTCAAATTACCAGAACTGGTCTTTTCACCCTGTCTAACAGAAATGTGAGCCCCCAATGGAAGTCCATGGAGGAATCCTGGATTTTAGCATAGATGTTGCTTAGTAAAAACATGTGATGTTGCCATAATACACATGTATGCACACATTCACATGTCTAGATCAGAGGTCCTCAAACTTTTTAAACAGAGGGCCAGGTCACAGTCCCTCAAACTGTTGGAGGGCCGGATTATAATTTGAAAAAAACATGAATTCTTATGCACACTTATTTGTAGTGCAAAAACACTTTAAAACAATACAATAATTAAAATGAAGAACAATTTTAACAAATATAAACGTATTAGTATTTCAATGGGAAGTGTGGGCCTGCTTTTGACTGATGAGATTGGATTGTTGCTGTTGTTGTTGTAGTTGTGTACTTTCATTTCAGACTTAGGTTGACCCTGAGCGAGGGCTGGGTAAATGACCTTGGAGGGCCGTATCTGGCCCCCGGGCCTTAGTTTGAGGACCCCTGGTCTAGATGGTAAAAGAAAAATTAAAAAGTCAGAAAGTCGAGTATCTGTTGAAAATGAGGCAAGTGGGGTTTATATATCGGTGGAATGATGTCCAGCGTGGGAGAAAGAACTCTTGTCTGCTTAAGGCAAGTGTGAATGTTGTAATTGGCAACCTTGATTAGCATTGAATGTCCTTGCAGCTTCAAAAAGCCTCCCAACAAAGGATTCCCCCAGGCAGGAAGCAGCCAGGCTTTGAAGCTGCAAGGCCATTCAATGCTAATCAAGGTGGCCATTTGCAACATTCACACCTGCCTCAACAGACAAGAGTTCTTTCTCCCACCCTGGACATTCCACAGATATATAAACCTCACTTGCCTAGTTTCCAATAGACCTCACACCTCAGAGGATGCCTGCCATAGATGTGGGAGAAATTTCAGGAGAGAATGCTTCTGGAACTTGGCCATAAAGCCCAGAAAACTCACAGCAGCCCAATCAAAACTCTAATTTTACACACATATACAGAGGAATAAGGTTCATAAAAAAGAATAAGGCTTACATCTTAACAAACATATATATGTATAGGGATGCTACAGATATACAGAACATTCCAGCCACAGCTCCCCCTGTGGCCAGAATCAAGCATACCCTCGTAAAGCCGGAAAGCTGGAATGTTAAATTGCCTCTGTGTCTGTCTACATATGTTGTAGACAGATACAGATACTAAATGTTTGCCATGCATATGTGCATTGAAATCTACCCTGAGTCTCTTGTGGGGTGAGAAGGGTGGAATATAAATACTGTAAATAAATAATCATAAATACTTTAGAACAAAGAAAACATCTGTAGGAGACTTGCAGGAATCTAGTTCTTATTATCACATATGGATATGATGATCAATCCATCTGTTTACTAACAACTTGTTTTTATAATCAAATCAAATTCAAAATTAACTTGGATGAATCTTATGACAGAGTTAGTCAAGAAACATCTGTTCTACTCACTGATATTTAACACTTACTTTGCAACATATGGATATTTATTGAACCAAAAGCTGACAACATTTTAAGAAAATCAGATAACAAAATCCATGAACTACAACGCAAAAATAGTAAACCCATACATACTTTGTGCTGTTAGAGGATATTGTTATAAAAAAAAATCAAGCATGCATCAAAGGCAACTGTTTAGTTTTTACAAGGTCTTTAGCCTTCTCTGCCATGGAAGTTAAACTACATTTATTCTATTATTTGGAGGTGCTCCCAGAAACTAGACTGTTAACATTATAGTATGGTGACAAGTGGTCCTTGCAACATGAAAACTTTATTATCTTTATGTATACCATAACTTGCCTCATACTGGCAATTCCCTATGATTTATCTTTAAATCAGTGGTTCCCAACCTGTGGCTGGTGGACCACCAGTGGTCTGCAAGAACTAAAATACCGTTGTAACAAGAGTGACTGGTCTTGCGAAACTGTCTTATAGAGCCCAGGCTCATTAAATATGGTTTTCTGTGGGTGAGCAGATGGTGACTACTGGATGGCATATGTTCTGCATCAGAAACTAGAGCTGATGTAGTTTATTCAATTCAATATTTTGAATAACCAAACCAAATATAAAGTTGATCAAAAATTGATTCATAACCCTTTTGGTACTAATGTTGAAGAGTGTCCCTGGTCAAAGTGATCCCTTGCAAAGTGGTCTCTGGTTAAAAAAAGGTTGGTAACCACTGCTTTAAATAGATGGAGAACCAATCTATGAGACGTAGCAATAGATGTTTGAGTATGCCAGACTGAATGATTACTATCTTTTGCTTATAGCTTTCCCCGTCAAGGTATATGGCTTATCCATCACACATCATCTATTGATTTATTCTATAAAATTATCAACCAACCTCATCCCACTTCAGTGTCACGTATAAAACTACTTTTGAAATGAGAGGACTTCAGAAGTATTTAGCATTACAGGATGATATGACAGTCAAAGGAGTAAAAAGGAGAGCATTCCAATGGGTACCATGTGATAAAGCTTTTTGGATCATGTCCCAAGATATGAAGATATGAATATTTTGAAGAAGCATAATATTGTGGTTTTAGCACTGGGCTATTACTTTGGAAACCAGAGTCAAAATCATCACTTGGTCATAGAAACCCACTGGGTGACTTTGGGCATGTCACACACTCTCAGCCTCAGAGGTAGACAAAGGTAAAGCTCCTCTGAAGAAAACTCTGTGATAGGTTCACCTTAAGGTCACCATAATTTGGGAATTACTTGAAGGCACGCAACAACAACAATCTTGTATCAAAACCTGCCAACTTGCCCATAATCTGTTTCCATGGCACTAGATAACAAAAGAATGCACTTTAGCATGAAAAATCCTTGCTATGAAAGCAGCACATAGAAGAATGATTAAATGCAGTTATGACATTCAAAACTACTATGAAAAAAACTTTGTTATCTTAAACAAAACAAAAACAGAGTAGTGAAGAAAGATCATAATGTTTGAAAATCCTCCTGCAACGTTTAAGCTCATGGATTTTTTTAGCAAATCTTTTCAAAGCACCCAGAAACCACAAACATTCATTTAAAAAAATCCCTCTTGAGAAGAATATAGCTAAGGATATAAGAACAACACATTTTAACTTTCAATGGAAATAAATAACCTTAGATGTCACTTCAAAAATGTTAAACCCTTCTTAACATCTTAACCCTCATCAGGCTATAAAAATAACTTTACTAGTGAGTCACAATGCAAACGTTATATTTTCAAAACAGTTACTTTGCTTTTACAAGTGTTGGTTCACCACCAATTGTGGCTCAATATACATGCCTACCTGTATAACAGGAAGGTATTCACGTTAATTATACTTGTAGTAAAAATCGATAACATCAAGCAAATGATTTACAGAACATTCATATTAATATGCATACCTTAGAGAGCTCCATTCCAGGTCCGCACTGTTCACACAACATACAGTTTCCATCATGATCTCTAAACTCCTGTTCTCGGCAGCCGCCCGTTTCACAAATTACAGGATTTGACTGAAAACAAGAAAGTAGTAATTCTAGTGATGCTTCAGTTTATCTAAGTGTACAATCTGTTTATCTAGCTGTACCATTTTATACCTGGCAACACAGCAATGCTCTGCTAAATTCAGTTGGACATAGTCCCCAGTAAGTGTGTACAGGATTTGTCAAATCTCTATTGATTCAATGGGTCTATTGGGCCAATATCTCCCAAAGAAATAAATTATTGACACAATATCCAAGCTTAGTATCACCCAAACCTAAAATAATTGAAAACTTCTTCATTATCAACATTTTGTAGACATCTTAAAGTTATACCAAAAAGGAAATAAACTTTTGTAATGTTTTGGATGATGTCAAATTTAACTCCTTTATTATCTTTCAGCCACAAAATTAGTTTTGTTTTAGCCACAGGTCTCTTCAGGTCTGATAATAATAATAATAATAATAATAATAATAATAATAATAATAATAATATACTTTATATTTTGCTTTATCTCACTAAGGGGACTCAGAGTGGATTATAGAAAACATATATGGTAAACATTCAATGTAATTACCCAATTAACAACAAAGACAGACAGTACATAGACAAAAACAAAAGCTTCTCTCTTTTCCATCTCCGGCATCTGAAGACTGTGCTCAATTCCAGCCATGGAGAGGTAATGTTGTTCCATTTCTCATGCTTAGGAGCCTGTTGTCTGTGGACGCCTTCCTGATCGAATTGCCAGCATGTCTTCATGGGCGCCTTTTACCTTCCCGCCGAAGCAGTACCTTTTGATCTACTCACATTACTGTTTTCAAACTGCTAGGTAAGCAGAAGCTAAGGCTGATGGAGGGAGCTTATCCCACCTGCAGCTTGAACTACCAACCTTCCGGTTGGCAAGATTTTCTACAGCTGGCGGTTTAACCCACTGTGCTACTATGGCCCATTAATTTAGTTATTCAGAGCGCAAAAGTATTTAGTAATACACACAGTAACATACTGAAGCATAATTTTACAATTCACAATAAGAAATGTTGGTTATATACTTACATAATATATCAAAAATATCAGCAGCTTTGCTATGGACGACCATTGACATCTTTTTATATACATATCTGAAATCTTCCTTTTAATGCTGTATTAAATCTGTAAACAAAGGAAATCATTTTAAATTAAAGGGACAGAAGATGCAAATTTTGACCATACTACCCCATAGCACACAATGAAGTATGAGCACTTAAGCCTTGATTGAGTGTGGTACTCCCCGGTGGGCCGAGGCAGGACAAGAAGGAGGAAGTGGCAGGACTTGGATACAGGACACCTGGTGCTTGAGCATTTAGTCAAATTGCCTGTTATGTTGCATTCCCATATCTGGTTAATTTTATTCTGCCTTTTTCCACAATAGGATTCAACTCAGCGTCCTTTTGATCAAATCTTATTTTCAGCGTTTGTTTCAGAATAAACTTGTCTCCTCCCAAAACAAGAATTTAATCATATATTGTTTAGCGTAATGCTGTGGTCCTATTTTGAATGCTTTATTATATTTCAGTCTATAAGTCATGCTGTGTAAGAAATGACAATATACGTTAAATATGCTTCCTCAACTTGATGTATTGGTCACTGTATGCCAGATGCACAATACACATCCTTCAGTTGTCTGGTCCTAGGTTTAAGGCAAGATCTTCCAGCATGAATCATAGAATCACAGAGTTGGAAGAGATCTCGTAGGCCATCCAGTCCAACCCCCTGCCAAGAAGTAGGAAAATCGCAACCTCTCTTTAAAAGTCTCCAAAGAAGAAGCCTCCACCACACTTCAGGGCAGAGAGTTCCACTGCTGAACAACTCTCACAGTCAGGAAGTTCTTTCTAATGTTCAGGTGGAATCTCCTTTCCTGTAGTTTGAAGCCATTGTTCTGCATCCTAGCCTCCAGGGCAGCAGAAAACAAGCTTGCTCCCTTCTCCCTATGACTTCCCCTCACATATTTATACATGGAAATCATGACTTTTCTCAGCCTTCTCTTCTGCAGGCTAAACATGCCCAGCTCTTTAAGCTGATCCTCATAGGACTTGTTTTCCAGAACCTTGATCATTTTAGTCGCCCTCCTCTGGACACATTGCTAGCTTGTCAACATCTCCCTTCAATTGCGGTGGTCAGAACTGGATCCATTTGTATTTTAGACTTTATATAATGCATGAGTTTTTAAATAAAAAAAACTAATGGTAGGATATAAATATAATGAAATAAAAATCCATCTCTGTAACCAATTATCTCTCATTAGGAAAAAAACACACAACAACAACTATGTACTACAAAAAGAAAAATAATAACCAAAGAATTATGTGTGCACACCATTCCAAAACCACACATATTTTTGTCAGCTTTTCTACAGAATATATTTTTTTCTTATGCAACTTAAGTATTTTTTCCTATTGAATGGCAAAACTAATGTTTTCCTGCTAACATTGCCAGGAATCTCACATGCTAAAATGCAGCATCAGACTTTAAAATTAAGCATTTCATCTGGCATGAATCTAATACTAGCCCAGTACATCTGCTCATTCTGCAGTGCTAAGCCAATTGCCTCATTTATACATTGAAGGATTATGCAGCCTCCAAAAGAGCGTAATTGATCAAAAGACTCAAAGCTAAAGTTTATGACTGCTGGAACTTCCAAAGAAAGAAGCTTGTGAACATCTGGATATTACACTTCAGAGAACCTGTACAGCCTCAACAGCTGCAAATTCTTCTCACTACTCTACAGCAAATATATATCCAAACACTGGAAAATGAATACACCGGTTTTAAAGGCATTGACCAATTTACAGAAAAAAAAATCCCTGGAGATAGGCTAGCTAATATAGGTAGAATTTATATCCACTGCAGCATGTGATAAAATTTTTGTATCAGACTATGCAATAATAGCATGATGTTACTCACAAAGAAAATTAAATTAGAAATTAAAAGAGTTGGCGCATGCAAATAACTGACTAACTGCCTGGAAGCAAGTCTTGAAAGAAGCAAAATAAAGTCAGCTTGCATGTTTCCTGTTTCAGTCTCCAGTTCAAACATTTGTGGCCTAAAAACAGACCTTGCTGCACTTAATAATAGGCCTCCATTGGGCAAATTTGTTCTTTACTGCTATCAAGTAGTACTGAACTGAAGTCAACTGAAAACAAGCCACTCCATCTGTCTTTTCCTGCATTTATAGAGACAAAAGTATATCTTGAATTGTAACCACAAGTGCAACAGATGTAGCCCATTTTCTTTCTACTATGTAACATTAACATTTAGAGTTTTATTTAGCAACTAAAAAATTAAAAAAAAATGTTAGAAAGCACCAAGGGAGCCACATGAACATCCAGGCTTTAATATAAGCATTGCACCAAAGGAGAAAGTGGGGGAAGGGGTGCTTCTTTTAGGTTCTCCTAGTACAGACTATGAATAGGACATGATTTTTGCTATTTTTTATATACATTGCTATCAATGTATATGGTACTTTCCAAAGCAAAAATAGTATATGGATTGTTTTCTGAGTCAAGGAATGGCTCAAGCAGTGGTTTTCAGTGTTTGGTGCAGTGGTGATGGAATGGGCTAAACCAATGAGCTGCTGAACTTGCTGACCAGAAAGTTGGTGGTTCAAATCTGCGGGACGGGTTGATCTCTGCTGTTAGCCCCAGCTCCTGTAACCTAGCAGTTCGAAAACATGCAAATGTGAGTAGATTCATAGGTACCGCCTCGGCAGGAAGGTAAATGGTGCTTCATGCAGTCATGTTTGCCACATGACCTAGGAGGCTTTGAAATGGACATGAGCACCCCACCCCCCCCCCCCCCCCCCGTAACAGTTTAAATAATGTACCAGTAAGGTCTTCTGGACCACCATGAGAATTTCAGGGGGGGGCTGAAGCCCCCCTCAACCCCCCCCCCCCCCCCGGCTACATGCCTGCTGCTATGGAATCCTAGAATTTGTAGTGTGGTGAGGACCAAACCCTCCTTGGCACAGAAAGAAAAAGATAGTTTGAAACCGCAAATCCCATGATTCCATAGCACTGAGCCTTGGCAGTTGAATGTGTCAAACTGCATTAATTCTATAGTATAGATGTGGCCCTGGGTTCTTCATTCTCCATATCATATTCCAACTTGCGAAGGCTGCTGTGATGGCAGAGTGATGGGAAGAAACAGAGAGGAAAGATAGGATGTAATACGTTAATAATTATCAGACTAATAAGAGGAAAGATGGGATATAAACTGTAATCTGCCTTAAGCTAACTGTTTGAAAGGCAGAATATAAATATAATATATTAATAAACAGGCTAATAAGAGATGGAAGGGGTGAGAGAAGGGTCTAAATGGCGCCACAAAGTCCCTGCAGAGCAGATTGTAGAAAGGAAATATGAGTCAAAACAAGGTTTTTATCTAGAGTGATAAAGTGCATTATGTATTTCTGCAGGATGAGAGTCATGCTGTTCTGGGAATGCCATCTGCCTTCTACAAATACTGTCTCAGATGGTCTAGGATGTCCTAATCTTAATTCACTCTTGGGTATCATAATATTAGTTCATGGTTGTGTACAGAAGGCTGCGTCATGTTTCCTGGGATAGGAATCAAATATAGGCCATTTACAATTTTTTTAATCAACTACTTTATTGCCAGCTGAAGGAAATATTAACTCAAAGGAAACAACCTTGAGCAGGGAATCTTGCTGATGGGTCATCTTGCATGATGTAGGACTATAATATGCAGGTTGAGTATCCCTTATCTGAAATTCTGAAATCTGAAATATTTCAGAATCCTAAATTGTCCATCAAGGGAGAATGAGACAGTGACACCATTGCTGTTTGATGGTTCCTTGTCCACAAACTTTCTTTCATGCACATGAACACAGTTATTACAAATACTGTGTATCAAACTGCCTTAGGCTATGAGTATAAGATGTATATGAGACCAAAATGACTTTGATGTTTAGACTTGGGTCCCATTTCCAAGATAGCTCATTATGTGTATGCAAGCATCCCAAAATCCTCCAAAATAACAAAAACACAGAACGTTTCCAGTCCTAAATATTCTATATAAGGCAGTGTTTCTCAACCTGGGGGTTGGGACCCCTGGGGAGGGGTTGCGAGGGGAGTGTCAGAGGGGTTGCCAAATACTATCAGAAAACAGTATTTTCTATTGGTCATGGGGGTCCTGTGTGGGAAGTATGGCCCAATTCTATCATTGGTGGGGTTCAAAATGGTCTTTGATTTTATTTGAACCATATATCCCAGCAACCACAACTCCCAAATGTCAAATCTATTTTCCCCAAACTCCATCAGTGTTCACATTAGGGCATATTGAGTATTCATGCCACATTTGGTCCAGATCCATCATTGTTTGAGTCCACAGTGCTCTCTGGATGTAGATGAACTACAACCCCAAAACTCAAGGTCAATGCCCACCAAGCCTTTCCAGTATTTTCTCTTGGTCATGGGAGTTCTCTGTGCCAAGTTTGGTTCAAATCCATTGTTGGTGGAGTTCAGAACACTCTTTGGTTGCAGGTGAACTATAGATCCCAGCAACTACAACTCCCGAATGACAAAATCAACACCCCCCTCTACCCGACCAGTATTCAAATTTGGGTGTATTGGGTATTTGTGCCAAATTTGGTCCAGTGGATGAAAATACATCCTGCATATCAGATATGTACATCACTATTCATAACAGTAGCAAAATTACAATTATGAAATAGCAATGAAAATAATTTTATGTTTGAGGGTCACTACAACATGAGGAACTGTATGAAGGGGTCATGGCTTTAAGAAGGTCGAGAAACACTTGTATAAGGGATACTCAACCTGCATGACCCACACCACAACTGATCTACTTTCAGTAAGATCCATTACCCCATGTTGAGTGAAAATATGCTCTAAAATAGGCATGGCAAACTTTGGCCCTCCAGGTGTTTTGGACTGCCAGTAGGCTGTTAGGAACTGTGGGAGTTGAAATCCAAAACACCTGTAGGGCTGTAGTTTGCCTATCCCTGCTCTAAAATGTAAATATGTCTCTCGTCTGGATAGATTTCATTTCGCAGGTCATATAGAATTCTCTGGAGCAGAGTACCAACACACTCAACCCCAAAATAATTTATTTTCGCCTTTAGTTTATCAGAT